TGGCACGCCCCGCATTCAACCGAAGGACGTAGTTAGCTTATTAGTTACTTGGCCTGCGCGCCACGTAGGTTTTGTAATTTTTAGGGTCAACAATCCCTGATAGCCATTGCACAATCCCTAAAACAAAGTCTATTATTCCAACTAGGAAACTAAATAATAATAAAATATCTTAGAAAATAAAGTCCTAATTAAGCTAGGAGAATCTGTCAGGTAACTGTCCAGCCACGTTTTGGCCTCAAATCTCCTCGAAATTCGACCCATAAGAGCTTGTTTTGAAGATCCGAACGTTCTGAACACATTTCCAGAAGGCCACAAACCCATCAGAGGTCTTCTTGGGCTCCAAAAATGCAATTCAAGCCCAAAAGGTCACTTTTCCAACACCGCACACTGCTCTTTTATTTTATCGGCAGAAAATCACCATTTGGTAGAAAAATCTGATATTTTGAAATGATCAAACCTGACTCACGAACGTCCTCCAATTGGAATTACTCCAAAATTCATCCATTTTGTTCACGTTTTGCTCCAGAGGAAGTCGAAAGTCCTATATTGAAAATACAATTCAAAGTATCAAAATTCTACCAAAATAATAGCCAAAATATACTAAGAATAGGGTTAAATATATAACGTAAAATCTACTCATCAATGAGATTGACTACTAAGTCATAATTACTATAAAATGCTTTCTTCGACAAAGAGAGAGATCGATCACAACCATGAAGGCTTTTGTCAATGGATCGAGTGAGGGAACACTAGCAAAAAACGGAAGGAAAGAAAAGAAATGTATCAAGAAGGATTGTTGTGGTCCCAAGGTCAAAGGCTTGGGTTGGCGAATGTAGGTGACGTCTTTGTTTTTCTCTCGAAAGGCAAGAGTTTGCTTGGACCAATCTCATTAATACTGTTTGGGGTTCTTACTTAAATTTTGATTTCTTTCTTTATGCATTGTTTGTTAACACAGGGCTCTTTGTTGCCCCATTAAAATCATTATTAATGCTGGGCTTTTTTAGGCCCAAACAGTGGAGTTGGCCAAAAAGGGAACATTAGGAAGCCTAATATGAGAACCCAAAGCCTAAGGCCCAAGGGGCTTAAAGAGGACAAGCCCAAGCACAACGGTCGATCGTCTTTAAACCTAGCTGACCAAAGAACGCAAGAAGGATTATAACTGCTGCAAGCACGTGAGCAGACTGACAACTTTAAGACACAAATTTCCAATGACACATCTCTCCAGATGCCATCATTTCACTTGACAACCACCTTTTAGTGATAGGGATGCCTAGGATAAGATATAAAGGCAGTCAAAATGATGCTCGGGCAGGTGAGATTGGATAACTGAGGTCGAGCAGGTGCTCGGCTCGTACTGTCGGTACCCTAGGCTACATAGGTGGCACATCAAATGCCAAGTGAGTTGTGTGACGACCCGTCCCTAATTTTCTATGTAATTTTTCCCCGAATATGTGAATTGACATTTATGCCCTTGTTGGCAAGTGACGTGGATGTGTTTATTGGTTCTTAAATTGTTTTTCTTGCTATTGTAATTAAATTCTAGTCATCACTTCGAACGTGTGAACGCGTGTTAGACTCGAATCGGACTTATAACGTTAAAGTTACGCTTCGTTAAAGTGCGTTGACCATGGGTATTCTTGTACACGCGCGTACGGATTTACAATGTCTAAAACATTTAAAGAAATCTGATTTTATACATCAAGGGTTGTACAAACCCTGATAGTCATTCAATCCCACAAAAAAAGGATCTATATTCCCTCTCCCTTACACAATCAACCAATCATTTTTCACAAATCACCATCCTTCATTCCTTTTCCCGGTTTCTCTTCACCACCCAATTAGATAGTTTTCCCTCTTCAAAAGCCACCATTTAGATCACCAACTCACACCAATCACCAATCAGAAACTCAGAAAGCTCTCTCTTTTTTCCTTCTCTTTCCCCGAAGGCATTCTCTCACTCTGTAACCCCCTCAAACTTACACCAAACCTCACCAACGTAACCCAAAAACACCACCATCATATTCATCTCGGCTCCACGAACACAATCATACCATTGGATCATGAGTTGACTGAGTTTTGGACGTCAAACTAGGAAGGTCTGAACTCGGTGAGTTTAAGTTCAACATTTTCAGGCCAAGTTGAGGAGTTTTGAAGGTCCATGAAAGCTCTCTTACAACTCCTCAATACTCCTAGGCTAGTTTTGGTGAGGAGTTGACGTAAAAAACTAGAGGTTTTGAAAAGTTGAGTTTTGGCCATACCTTTCGAGGCATTTTCAGGCCACCTCCATCCACTTTTTGGACTCTAAAAAGGTATAATACGATTCTACTCTTCATAAGCTTCATTTCCATATAAATTTTGTGAAAAATGGTTGAGAAATGAAGAAGATATGAAGGTTTGAAACTTTCCCAGAAACCAATGAAATTTTCCAGTTTCTGGCGAGTTCAGACGGCGATGACTGGCATCGGAGAAGAAGACGGCGTCAGGTAATGCTGTTAACTTATGTTAAGGATTTAACGGAATATTCCTAATGGTTGTTAGGCTTCCGTTAGTCTCTGCCTGAGCGTGTGGCTGTGCCATAGCCGGCGGGTGGCGGCGCGTTCGGCATCCAAAAATTTTTCTGAAAATTTGTATAGGTCTGTGACGTCGAGTAGATCGATTTCATGCATTTAAACCCTAGGTTAGAGCAAACTATAGGGGTTTTATTTAAGTTTCCGTATACGTGTTTTAATTAATTTAAATATAGTTATTTTACATATAGGGAAATGTATCCCGAGGACTTAAGGGGTCAGGCAAGGCTCGGGGGCTACGATCCGTACTTGTGAGTGGGCAGTTTGTTTGTATACCTATACATAGTTATAGTTTCCATAAATGCGTATTTACTTCATTTTTACGCTTATATTGCCAAGTATCATTATTGTGATATTAATTGTGATAAATGCTGTTATATGGTTGGGATATTACTATCATGATATTCATACATATTTGGACATGCTCATCTTGCTACACCCCAGTGTTAGTACTCGCCCCAGGGCCAGTCCTTCACGTGTATGTTCACATTCGTACCTTTAAATCACCTTGGATCCAAGTTAGGTGCCAGTCCTATCGTTCAGATTGCATTAGGCAATTGCAAATCGTATGTGATTGTGCTTCCGCACCAGCCTTCACATGATCGTAGTATTAGAGCATATTGATAACACCTAGTCTTGTTCGTGTCAGAAATTATCTGTACGAATTCGTGTGTCAGCTTAGATGGTTGAGCACTTGTTTATACTTGATTATCACATGATTATATTATTGTGGCATTTGATATATCATGACTTGGCATATTTCTGGTTATATTGTTGTTATACTTTTGTTTACATACTTACATAGTATGTTTTAAGTAAACTATACTTGTTTTACAGCGAGGGGTTAGTATGATAAAAAATAAAGGTTTTCTTACAAACGTTGTTTTGTTGACTTACTCAACTTTGTTTTTCGCCCCTCCAGGACCTAGATAGTTGTACTCTTTGTGGCGTTCGAGGAACCTTCAGCAGTTCTGACATTATCTCTATTTAGAAGTATGAACTTATCTATTGTTGAGTAATAAGGGTACTTTAGCTACTTGGACTACTTCACCATAGTCTTACTGTCTATTATGCTATGAATAATTGTAGTGGGTTCTTCCCACGACTACGCACTCTTTCACTATTTAATTTAAATTAGTTCTAGTTTAGTTTTAATTTATTCACTTTTTCACACCACTTTCCCTTTATGGTTACGTCACCTCATAGTGACGGCCAACATGCTCTAACCTCCTAAGGTCGGGGTGTGTCAACCTGACTTGAAGCTGATAAAGTTCATTGAGGTCCTATATAAAGGAGCAGATGCCTCCAAATAGGGGGCTAGAGGACTAAGAGAGGAAAGTAAACTTGTATGAGGCGAGCTTTAATTTCAATCTTGATATCAATATAAAGCCTAGCACCACAGTGGGTGTAACCTAGTTTTAAGGGATGAACCACTTACATCTTTGAGTTCGATTTGTTTTACTTCATATTTGAAAGCCATCCAAGTGTTTGTTATTTTAAGTTGTTAACCTACAAGTTTTGAGCATTAACAGTTTGTTAACTTATAGGTTTTGAGAGTTAACAATTTAGCGCCGTCTGTGGGAAATGCGTACGATTTGGTTGTGCTTTCTACCTAGTTGACTTGAGAAGCTTTCCATGACCGTGCTCAACTGAGAGAGATGACCAGTCGAAGAATGAGAGATAGGGTCATTTCACGCAGACCCGAGACAACCTTCTAAAGGAGAAGACGAGAAGAGAAGGCCATGCTCCTCATCTTGGAAGAGAAAATGAATGACATACTTACTGGCGTGGGAGAAATGAATGAGGTAAGGAACCTCATCCATGTCCAAAACACCCTGCTCCAGGAGAAGAACGACTACCTTTTGGAACATATCAATCAGATGAACGATAAGATCGAGATCACATCCCGAGTAGGGGCCCATACTTGTCATCCTCCTCTGGGGATGTCGAGAGCGGAGTTGAGGATGCCCGCGAAGTCATCAACAAAATGCTCTGAGTAGAAGAAGGCAAGTAGTTGTTTGGAGACTCAGGCGTGGGGCGAAGCGGGGAGACGGAATTACAAATCCTCTCCTTTTCGGGTGCTCTCGCTAGGCCTACCTAGCAAAGGATTTAGTTGACATGAGTCTAGCGTAGTCCCATGACACTTAGTCCTTACTTGCACCAAACACGGACGATTAATCCTAGCTAAGTAGTCCTATCCAGTGAAACTTAACGGGGCCGAACAAACGTGCCCTGAGCGACTAAGAGAGCATGCATGCAAATTTCAAATAAAAAGGAACCCAATTCCAATCTTAAATTGAGGTGACGTGAAAATTAGATGAATAAATCTTCCAATGGCGTCACATAGAACAGAGAGAAACCCCAGTTGATCTTGAAAGTTAATTATAAGTAATTACTCCCATGCATCTTGATTAAGGAGCAGCAAATATTCCTCAATCAACAGTAGTATAGATTTAACCAAGCTACCACATTTTATTACAATACCCGTGCATACAAATATATATATATATATATATATCTCGATAATATTGGCTGCCATCCATGATCTAGCATTAATGATTATGCTAGGGTGGGCAAGATTCTCCAGGGAGTTTGATGGGAGGAAGATCTAACATGGTCTGAAAGCCGGCCCTGTCGAAAGCAAATGAGGGAGACGTATCATGAGCATGAACAGTCGCACTCGCGGTGATAGTAGTAGTAGTAGCAGCCTCTGCTGCTGAGAACCCCAGCACACTAGCAGTGTAGTCCAAATAATCAAACGGCAGCGGATCATTGTATTGATGACGATTATGATAGGGGGCGTTTGGCTGATACTGATGAGCATGATTCTTTTCCAGCTCCACCCCCAAGTTCAAGTTATGCAATTTGTTGCAGGTTCTATTATTATTGTTGTTATTACTGTTGCCCGGTGTTTGGAAACGGGAGAAGTAGTTGGCCAGCTCAGTCTTGCACTGTTTGGGAATAGTACTAGTAGAACTGCTGCTGTTGCAATCTTGGTCGAAAAGGGACTTGAAAAGGAGGGAGTTGGAAAAAGAGGGTAATTGGTGGGTTTGCATGGCATTTATAGCTGGGAAGAAGAAGGGGTCATGATTATCTTGATGAATCGGAGGAGGAAGAACTTGCAATTGCATTGGATTCTGAAATTCATGGCATGACTCTTGCAATGCTAATGCTGGAGATGGATCCAGCAATGGAGGCAGGTAATTGCAATTTGAATTTATTGAAGCAGCAGCTTCATGATCAACTAGTAGTGGGCTTTTCTTGTCCCCAGATTTGTGATTTATTCGGCATATCACCCATTCCTCCTGCAAACACACAAGCACATATTATTTAACAACTACAATATCACAAAACTTCATAAATAACTAATTTAAATGATGAGTTAAAGTCGTTTAATAATCTTTTTGTTTTTAATTTTTAACTGTACATTTTAGTTTTCGTTCTTTGAAAAGTAAAAATTAAGTGCTAAATTTTTAAAACTCAATAAAATAGTTATGAAAAAAGTTTACAGTTCTCAACAAAATAAGACTAAAAATTAAAAATAAAATGGAAAATTCTTAAGATAGGTAAATATTTTATTGTGTAAGAAATATGGCATACTTGGTCAACTTTTTGGTACCAAAATGAGGATTCTCTTTGTATTCTTTTTTACGAGGATCTTGAAGATTCTCATATCATGTTCGTTTATCGTATATCGTGCAATTAAAAATTATTTTAAATAACTTTATTTTAATTAAATATAAATAATATCTGATGTACGATGATCTGACATGATTTAAGATGAGGGGATCCGGCTAATAAATCAATCAAATCGCATTCAACTGAGAAAAAAAAATAAAAAAGAAGGAAAAGAGACTGGTGCTGAAAAGGTAAATGTATAAATAAAAAAAGAAGTGAAAATATTGAGTACACAATAAGTCAACCCCAAAAAGCGACAAATGAGAGGGTGAAATTTGCAGTTGCAGCAGGTAAATCAATAAAAAGCAAAGCAAAATTTCCAATGTAGATTAGACGGGTAATTAAATTGGATTCCCACGCACAAACACGGCGACTCGAGACATTAGGTGATAGGTGTGCATGTGCACGTGTGGAGGTAGTTGTTGTGGGGGTCCATACCTTGCAGGCGTGGCGGTAGGAGGAGAAGTGGCCGTCAAGACGGTACTCGTGCATGACCCACTTGGTCTTGTGGCCCCTCGGAGCTCTGCCCTTGTAGAAGACAAGGGTCTTCTTCACGCCAAGTAGGGCTCCGGTGGACGCACTGAAGACTTGTCTGTCTTTGCCGGTGGCCTTCCAGTAGCCGGCTCCGGTCGCTCTGTTGGTTCTCATCCCTGTTGGGTACTTTCTGTCCCTCAAGCTGAAGAAGTACCACTCTCTATCTCCCATCTTTGCCACGTCTACACCACCATCATCATCAAAAATTAAATCTCTAGACGCTTCAGTCTAATAATGTTTGTTATATATACATAAATACTTACACATGAACAATGTTCATTTTTAGAGCATCACTATAACAGTTGATTTCACATATATGCGTTACTTTCCACGATACATGATTCATGATTGCATGAAACAGATAGCCTAACGTGGCCTAGCCAGGGTAATTAAGCCAAGCCAAAGCCAAAAGAGTTTATAAAGTGGTTGTAATTTGTCAGATCCACATTAAATAATGATTGGTGGCTGCTGTGCACTGCTGGGTATGCAATTGCGTGCAGGAGGAGATAGATTTTCTGGCCAGAGCCATACACGCATGCACACTCAACTGCCAAAGATATATTCAACCGAACAAGGAATGCATTAACTCTTCGCCAGAGATATATACAGTTGCGAGCTACAATGAGGTCACATAATTTTAGCAAACAAAAACTTCATTCGTTGGATTTCTACTGAGTACCATGCCGAGTTATATTGCATATGTTAGTTTTGCGAGGCCTACCGAGTGAAGTTTTTTATCGAACACAAAAAATAGAAGAAGAAAGACAAAGGAAAGAAAGAAGAAAATCTACAAACAATTCATGTGGTTGCACAAAAGAAGCTGCGGTTTATAATTCAATGTTTTTGACTCATTCTTTCGGTTCGGGGGTTATACACAAATATACAGATAAATATATTTTAAAGATAATGAAACTATTGAAATCACGAGCAACTAATGACTCATGGCACTGCCACAGGATATGTGTGTGTGTGTGAGAGAGTGTTTGGACCTAAATTTACGCTATCGGCCCATACAATCAATGCCGTTAGATGAGTAAAGTTCTAGACCGTTGGATGATAAAGTGGTTGAGATAATTTTCAATTATTATTAAGGAATAATATTGTGGTTTTAATCATAATATTATCTCTTAATATATATTGGATTATCTAAGCCTAATATTGGCTATATCCAGCGGATCGTTTAAAGATAAATGATATCTAAAAGATAGGTTGTTGCTTACCTTGAGAAGTCTTTGACCTAGACTCTAGCTGATGAGTTTGAATTAAAATCAAATTCTACACAAGTGAAGCCGCACCACACATCTGCTTCTATAAATACAAGGCTGCGAACACCATAGAGAGGACCTCCAATTCAACACACAACTGCCCTGCGCAAAACCTCTCAAACATCTTGAGATTTTTTATTTTCTTTTTTCCGCCGACACATCTTCAGTTTGGATAAACAGCACTGTGAAGGCAACCGGCGAACATCTTCAGTTTGGATAAACAGCACTGTTGCCGTAGAATCAGCCGTTCCCGAAGCACCTTCAGTTTGGATAAACAGCACTGCGTCGAGGCCGACTGGTTATCTATCCAAGTCTCGGTCGAGAAGGATTTTCAAATCCTTATTGGCAGAGGTCATCTCATTAGCCTTCTCGGCGAAGTGAGGTGTTACCAAGTTACTACATTCGGCACCCTGAGAGCCGAATTTGATATTGAACTTCGTAGAACTAGCAGCCTTGTCTTCAGGCTCGAGAATCCAAAGGCCGAGATTTGTTCCTTCCTCGGCCGCAATCGTAAGATAAAGAAGTCACCGACGCGCTCAACGCAACATCAACAAATTTTACTCCTCGGCCGAGCTCGGCCGACGAGTTGGCACGCCCCGCATTCAACCGAAGGACGTAGTTAGCTTATTAGTTACTTGGCCTGCGCGCCACGTAGGTTTTGTAATTTTTAGGGTCAACATTTTGGCACGCCCAGTGGGACCCAGTGCTAAAACTACGAAGTTCATATGATATATCAAGATTCCAATCTGGCTCAACGTAGCCGATTGTACGAGCGCCTAGAGGAATTGAAAAAACACAATGAAGAACGGAAAAGATCTTTGGAAGTGGAAAAAGTTCTTCGTGGCCATAAAGAGTTGCAAAAGTCATTCGCTTACATGTTGAGAATAAAAGCTCATGTTGCCCTGCAAGAGCAATGGGTAAATGAAGACAGGGCTCGATTTAATGCCTGGCTAGATGGAAAATATTTTCCTTACGTTTTCGACTACAAATCAATTCCATTTGAGGAATGGTTGGTTGAAAAGACTGGGGGGCAATTTTCCGCTTCGGCCGTAATCAGACATCGGCTTAAGAAAATTGTTCATGTGGTCGAGGAACAAAGGCCACCTATTTTTTCGGTCGAGACTGAAAGTGTGGTAGGCCTAGAAGAAAATGCTCAAGTTTCTGAGCCAAGAATTGACTCAGAAAATGTTTCTTTAGAGGAGTGTTCCAATGACGAACAATACCGATACACGACTTCGGACCATAAAACCACATCAATTGATATGGTAATTGGAGACATGGTTTTAGATGCCGAAACTACGCCAATCAATATGATTATTAGTGATAACACCGATATAGAGAAATCTCATTCGGCTAAGTTGTTTGAATTAAAAGCCGAAATTATGCGTGTGGGGCATAATAATTGTTCAACACATTCGGCGGCCGAAAATGAAAAAATTTTCACCAAGTTACAAATATTTGGAGAAAATTCTTTATTTGGCCTAGAGCGAAATCAATTTGAGAATTTTGATATTATAAGATCTCGGCTTGGAATAAAGCATCGTTGGCCTCCTCCTATTTATGGTTCGGCCACTTTTATTTTCATGTGCTAAATTACTTTCTTAACCATTCGGCCTCTTGGCCGATACTTAAGAAAATACAGGGGGGGCAATGAGCATTGAGCCCCCGGGGGGAAAAAAAAAAGGGTGATAGAAATATGCATGCCCGACAACATTATTCCAAAGCCAATGGGCCAAGTTTTGATTTTGTTTTTTGTGGCTTTGGATTCATATATATGTGATGATGGTCTTCGGCCACTTTAAGACCTCGGCCGACAATGAAGTTCCTCGGCCACGAAACGTTTCTAGCTAATGTTCCTCGGCCCACTTTACAAAACGATATGGCCGAATACAATTCTTTGGCCGAATAAAAGAAAGTTTGGCCGAATACAATGGGATATATATGTATATATATATATATATATCGGTTCTACACCCAATTCTTCTTGGCCTCGGCCTCGGCCCACTTTACAAAACTATTTGGTCGAATACAATTCTTCGGCCGAATAAAAGAAAGTTCGGCCGAACTATTGACCCCAAATTATTTTTCCTACCCCCTAATTCTTCTCGACCTTGGTTCATGATTGCTTATCACTTCTCTTCAACCATGAGTTGTTCTTTGGTCAAAAGAAGCCAGGATCATGTTCTCTCGGCTCAACACAGCAACAGGTTTCTCTCGGCCTGATAAGTAGGTGGTCGAGGTACTCCTGACTGGCTGGAAAGACTTAATTTCCTTAACCATTCGGCTTATGGGCCGAAGCTCAAGGAAACTGGGGGGCAATGTTTGGACCTAAATTTACGCTATCGGCCCATACAATCAATGCCGTTAGATGAGTAAAGTTCTAGACCGTTGGATGATAAAGTGGTTGAGATAATTTTCAATTATTATTAAGGAATAATATTGTGGTTTTAATCATAATATTATCTCTTAATATATATTGGATTATCTAAGCCTAATATTGGCTATATCCAGCGGATCGTTTAAAGATAAATGATATCTAAAAGATAGGTTGTTGCTTACCTTGAGAAGTCTTTGACCTAGACTCTAGCTGATGAGTTTGAATTAAAATCAAATTCTACACAAGTGAAGCCGCACCACACATCTGCTTCTATAAATACAAGGCTGCGAACACCATAGAGAGGACCTCCAATTCAACACACAACTGCCCTGCGCAAAACCTCTCAAACATCTTGAGATTTTTTATTTTCTTTTTTCCGCCGACACATCTTCAGTTTGGATAAACAGCACTGTGAAGGCAACCGGCGAACATCTTCAGTTTGGATAAACAGCACTGTTGCCGTAGAATCAGCCGTTCCCGAAGCACCTTCAGTTTGGATAAACAGCACTGCGTCGAGGCCGACTGGTTATCTATCCAAGTCTCGGTCGAGAAGGATTTTCAAATCCTTATTGGCAGAGGTCATCTCATTAGCCTTCTCGGCGAAGTGAGGTGTTACCAAGTTACTACATTCGGCACCCTGAGAGCCGAATTTGATATTGAACTTCGTAGAACTAGCAGCCTTGTCTTCAGGCTCGAGAATCCAAAGGCCGAGATTTGTTCCTTCCTCGGCCGCAATCGTAAGATAAAGAAGTCACCGACGCGCTCAACGCAACATCAACAAATTTTACTCCTCGGCCGAGCTCGGCCGACGAGTTGGCACGCCCCGCATTCAACCGAAGGACGTAGTTAGCTTATTAGTTACTTGGCCTGCGCGCCACGTAGGTTTTGTAATTTTTAGGGTCAACATTTTAAAATGTTGACCCTAAAAATTACAAAACCTACGTGGCGCGCAGGCCAAGTAACTAATAAGCTAACTACGTCCTTCGGTTGAATGCGGGGCGTGCCAACTCGTCGGCCGAGCTCGGCCGAGGAGTAAAATTTGTTGATGTTGCGTTGAGCGCGTCGGTGACTTCTTTATCTTACGATTGCGGCCGAGGAAGGAACAAATCTCGGCCTTTGGATTCTCGAGCCTGAAGACAAGGCTGCTAGTTCTACGAAGTTCAATATCAAATTCGGCTCTCAGGGTGCCGAATGTAGTAACTTGGTAACACCTCACTTCGCCGAGAAGGCTAATGAGATGACCTCTGCCAATAAGGATTTGAAAATCCTTCTCGACCGAGACTTGGATAGATAACCAGTCGGCCTCGACGCAGTGCTGTTTATCCAAACTGAAGGTGCTTCGGGAACGGCTGATTCTACGGCAACAGTGCTGTTTATCCAAACTGAAGATGTTCGCCGGTTGCCTTCACAGTGCTGTTTATCCAAACTGAAGATGTGTCGGCGGAAAAAATAAAAAATCTCAAGATGTTTGAGAGGTTTTGCGCAGGGCAGTTGTGTGTTGAATTGGAGGTCCTCTCTATGGTGTTCGCAGCCTTGTATTTATAGAAGCAGATGTGTGGTGCGGCTTCACTTGTGTAGAATTTGATTTTAATTCAAACTCATCAGCTAGAGTCTAGGTCAAAGACTTCTCAAGGTAAGCAACAACCTATCTTTTAGATATCATTTATCTTTAAACGATCCGCTGGATATAGCCAATATTAGGCTTAGATAATCCAATATATATTAAGAGATAATATTATGATTAAAACCACAATATTATTCCTTAATAATAATTGAAAATTATCTCAACCACTTTATCATCCAACGGTCTAGAACTTTACTCATCTAACGGCATTGATTGTATGGGCCGATAGCGTAAATTTAGGTCCAAACATTGCCCCCCAGTTTCCTTGAGCTTCGGCCCATAAGCCGAATGGTTAAGGAAATTAAGTCTTTCCAGCCAGTCAGGAGTACCTCGACCACCTACTTATCAGGCCGAGAGAAACCTGTTGCTGTGTTGAGCCGAGAGAACATGATCCTGGCTTCTTTTGACCAAAGAACAACTCATGGTTGAAGAGAAGTGATAAGCAATCATGAACCAAGGTCGAGAAGAATTAGGGGGTAGGAAAAATAATTTGGGGTCAATAGTTCGGCCGAACTTTCTTTTATTCGGCCGAAGAATTGTATTCGACCAAATAGTTTTGTAAAGTGGGCCGAGGCCGAGGCCAAGAAGAATTGGGTGTAGAACCGATATATATATATATATATACATATATATCCCATTGTATTCGGCCAAACTTTCTTTTATTCGGCCAAAGAATTGTATTCGGCCATATCGTTTTGTAAAGTGGGCCGAGGAACATTAGCTAGAAACGTTTCGTGGCCGAGGAACTTCATTGTCGGCCGAGGTCTTAAAGTGGCCGAAGACCATCATCACATATATATGAATCCAAAGCCACAAAAAACAAAATCAAAACTTGGCCCATTGGCTTTGGAATAATGTTGTCGGGCATGCATATTTCTATCACCCTTTTTTTTTTTCCCCCGGGGGCTCAATGCTCATTGCCCCCCCTGTATTTTCTTAAGTATCGGCCAAGAGGCCGAATGGTTAAGAAAGTAATTTAGCACATGAAAATAAAAGTGGCCGAACCATAAATAGGAGGAGGCCAACGATGCTTTATTCCAAGCCGAGATCTTATAATATCAAAATTCTCAAATTGATTTCGCTCTAGGCCAAATAAAGAATTTTCTCCAAATATTTGTAACTTGGTGAAAATTTTTTCATTTTCGGCCGCCGAATGTGTTGAACAATTATTATGCCCCACACGCATAATTTCGGCTTTTAATTCAAACAACTTAGCCGAATGAGATTTCTCTATATCGGTGTTATCACTAATAATCATATTGATTGGCGTAGTTTCGGCATCTAAAACCATGTCTCCAATTACCATATCAATTGATGTGGTTTTATGGTCCGAAGTCGTGTATCGGTATTGTTCGTCATTGGAACACTCCTCTAAAGAAACATTTTCTGAGTCAATTCTTGGCTCAGAAACTTGAGCATTTTCTTCTAGGCCTACCACACTTTCAGTCTCGACCGAAAAAATAGGTGGCCTTTGTTCCTCGACCACATGAACAATTTTCTTAAGCCGATGTCTGATTACGGCCGAAGCGGAAAATTGCCCCCCAGTCTTTTCAACCAACCATTCCTCAAATGGAATTGATTTGTAGTCGAAAACGTAAGGAAAATATTTTCCATCTAGCCAGGCATTAAATCGAGCCCTGTCTTCATTTACCCATTGCTCTTGCAGGGCAACATGAGCTTTTATTCTCAACATGTAAGCGAATGACTTTTGCAACTCTTTATGGCCACGAAGAACTTTTTCCACTTCCAAAGATCTTTTCCGTTCTTCATTGTGTTTTTTCAATTCCTCTAGGCGCTCGTACAATCGGCTACGTTGAGCCAGATTGGAATCTTGATATATCATATGAACTTCGTAGTTTTAGCACTGGGTCCCACTGGGCGTGCCAAAATGTTGACCCTAAAAATTACAAAACCTACGTGGCGCGCAGGCCAAGTAACTAATAAGCTAACTACGTCCTTCGGTTGAATGCGGGGCGTGCCAACTCGTCGGCCGAGCTCGGCCGAGGAGTAAAATTTGTTGATGTTGCGTTGAGCGCGTCGGTGACTTCTTTATCTTACGATTGCGGCCGAGGAAGGAACAAATCTCGGCCTTTGGATTCTCGAGCCTGAAGACAAGGCTGCTAGTTCTACGAAGTTCAATATCAAATTCGGCTCTCAGGGTGCCGAATGTAGTAACTTGGTAACACCTCACTTCGCCGAGAAGGCTAATGAGATGACCTCTGCCAATAAGGATTTGAAAATCCTTCTCGACCGAGACTTGGATAGATAACCAGTCGGCCTCGACGCAGTGCTGTTTATCCAAACTGAAGGTGCTTCGGGAACGGCTGATTCTACGGCAACAGTGCTGTTTATCCAAACTGAAGATGTTCGCCGGTTGCCTTCACAGTGCTGTTTATCCAAACTGAAGATGTGTCGGCGGAAAAAATAAAAAATCTCAAGATGTTTGAGAGGTTTGCGCAGGGCAGTTGTGTGTTGAATTGGAGGTCCTCTCTATGGTGTTCGCAGCCTTGTATTTATAGAAGCAGATGTGTGGTGCGGCTTCACTTGTGTAGAATTTGATTTTAATTCAAACTCATCAGCTAGAGTCTAGGTCAAAGACTTCTCAAGGTAAGCAACAACCTATCTTTTAGATATCATTTATCTTTAAACGATCCGCTGGATATAGCCAATATTAGGCTTAGATAATCCAATATATATTAAGAGATAATATTATGATTAAAACCACAATATTATTCCTTAATAATAATTGAAAATTATCTCAACCACTTTATCATCCAACGGTCTAGAACTTTACTCATCTAACGGCATTGATTGTATGGGCCGATAGCGTAAATTTAGGTCCAAACAGAGAGATAAAATGATTGTTTGTGTCTTGCTTCAAACTCCAGAGACACTTATTACTTTTGTCGATTTGCTAATTGATTAAGCACCACAAGCAGCATCTACAGTTATAAGATATAACATTGATTTACCAACTAATGGGAAATAATGAACCCGACATAAATTCTACTAATTAGGAACTTGTTGAATTGTCGTCGTTAAGATTCCATGAAGATAGTGCAGATATGATGTTATTAGCTAAGTTGGCCTAGACACTGAAACTCGAATGGCAGCATTAAGTAATAAGAGTATACCTGGGAGCTCCCATGGCTCGCATCGGTTAAGGTCGACCTCAGCAATGCGTACGCCGCAGAAGGAGCCATTGTAGACCTTGAAAGCCAGATAAAAGGTTATGAGCTCCTCGTCCGTCGGATGGAACCGGAACCCTGGCTGCATACCTTGTTCGTTTACGCCTTCCCCACTCCCATTCATCAGCTCACTCATAATTTCTTCCATTCCCAATATTATACAATCTATTTTCCAAACCAGAATAGCTATATAATTCAGGTAATTGACTAAAACAAATGACTGCTCTCGAGCTCTTTATGCTAATGAAGCTAAGGTGGTGGTTGCAACGTATATATGGAGAGGAGAAAGGGCTGGGATTTGGAGGAGGAGGAGGAGGAACACTGAAACCGAAAAACAAAGTAAATATGTGAATGGATCAAGGAAATTATGAGTAAGTGCTGGTGGAGTACATTCCCAAAATCCAAAACCGCATGGTTAAATTAAACATTTTAAAATTGTGAAAACCAAGAGAGATTGCGGTGATGAGCGTTGAGTTATGAGAGAGGAGGAGGCAGGTTCGAGGAAGAGCAGTGAGAGGGAAAGAGCAGGGTCGTGTCGGGGTGGGTGTGGGTCACTCAGTGTTGTAGACTTGTAGTAAATGCAAAAGCTGATTGCAGAGATTTATGCGTGCGTGTGTGAGCATATATAATATATATGTATTGTCTTCCTTTAACAGCTAGCTAGGTACCCTAGCTAGTCTATGCTCTCTGTCCTGGCCTATATTAACATTCAACAGTAACGCCACACATACATATATCATTTGGCCCATCCTATATATAGTACCCAACCTAGTCTATGCTCACGTACATCAAAATGCATTACACCATTTCCACTTATTTGGTTGGATTTGAATCTAAGAATAGACTTATGATGGTTATTATTTATTGCTAGAATCAAATTTGCGTACATTCGTGGACAGAGGTGAAATTCATTCGGAATTTTCCATGATCTTCAACGAGGGGAGAATAAGGTTGATTTGGGAGTGTGGTTGAATTCGGATAGGACTGCATGCATATTTTCGATAAGGAGAATCAAGCCACGAGTGTTGTTCTAAGAAAGATTAATGGTGTGATGTGCAATACATCATGAACCTTCTTGACGAATAACCTATGGCGAAGCATTAAAAATATGAGTTCTTTATGGACATGCCCACGCGTAGATAGCGATGTATGAGAGATAAGCATATGTTAGGCGTATAGAGCATGTGTGTGGTGGTCTTGTGGAGAAGATTAAGATAATCTCCTTAGAGTCATGGATCATAGAAGACTTGGAAAGTTGTCCCTTGATAAATACCCAGGCTAGAGTATTCGTAGAAATATTGAGAGTCCTTATAGATAAAGTAATCCCCATTAAATGGGGAGATTATATAGGAGAAATTTGAGAGTACGATTGCTTGCTTAATTCGAGCTAGCCAAGTCTGGCTAGTCCTGCTTGCTTGTCTATTAAAGACCTGATCTTTTGGAGTTCCGAATCATATTTTAAATCCCTAGCCGAAGTTCCAAATACATAACTAAAAAACTAGATGCGAGGTGTGCCTATACATTCCTAGAAAGACTTAGATGCCTTAGGAAATATTTTGCTAAGTCATTAAGCCTATTAGAGTAAAACACTTGGAACTTTTCATCATTTGCTTCCTTATTGCATGATATAGTTTAATCCAACAATCTTTTCAAAGTAAACTAACTTTGAAGTAATCGAGTATTGAGGCGAAACACGGGTAAGCTTGTAGGCCATGGATAGAACTTGAAACCCCCTATATTATAACGTTGAATGGAAAAATATCACCTCCTAAACTTAGCGTTTGTAAAGATTTTCATTGCAATAATCAAAGTACCACCTTACTTTGACACTGGGTACTAATCCCATGAGAACTTTTTGCCCCATATCTGCTTTAATGTATTGGTCATATAAGGATGAGAAAGTGTTCAATCATACCTAGAATGGCCTTTAACTTTTAATGTCAGTCCGACATGTTTGAGTTGACTTGTTTGTTCTTTAATCTTGTTCCATTCTAGGTTAAAAGATTTAAGTAGTTGCAACGTGTCACCAAGAAGAGGCTTCATTCTTAGTCTAAATTGCTTGTCTGTCCGTAGTTAATCATAAATGAAAGTTCGTTAGGGATTTAGTCGATTGTACGTGGGTCGAAAACACCTTTAGAATTCTTTTGTCATACCCTACGTGTAGGACTTGAGCATTTCCAGTCAAATTATACTTAGCTGACTTGGCTAAGGCACTTCTATGTATCAAATCTCTGTTGGAATAAAATTCATCTTAAGGATTTTCCAGTCTATATGCCTCATCCACAGCTATTTAACACATGCTGTTGTAGAATGTACTTCACTTCATACATTGGTTCATGTTATAAGTGTACTTGGGGTCGGGAATCATTGTCACCCCATGGATGATTCCCAAATTGCCCTTTCGATCATTCCCTCGAATGACATTTAGTCATGTTTGAATGTTATAACCCACAATCCTTAGGTTGTATAAACTTTTCTGAAGCTGGATGGTGCACTAGACTTCCGGGTCAGGGGCCATGTCCACATGTCCATAGCTCGCTAATCCGCGCTTAATATGGCTCGAGCCTCCCAAGCTGTTAACCCAAAACTAGGGAGTGGGCTAAGGGAGACTTCTCTGACACTATCACTTTGAACTTTTTGACTTGTGATTACACAAGGTTTTAAAGCTGTGTGTTATTATGGAATTTAGGGTATTCCATGTACTGCAATGAATAGTGTAAGAAAGAACAAGAAAAGGTGAGGATTTGAAAAAAAAATCATTCCTAGCTTTGGATTTTCCATCCAGGATACACATTCACTCATGTATGTTATTAAATAATTAAGCAAAAGTACTTATCTCTTAAAGCACTACCATGATTTGGACCAAGGTTGTTCACTAGTCGGATGAGCCTTCAGGTTGTTTTCCTCATTCGGATTCATGAAATTTTTCTTCTTACTCCATATGGTATGCCTCTTGTCCTTTTCCATTACAAGCTAGTAATAGATAAAGACAAGTGTGGAGTTGTCATGTAGCGCTTTGCAGGTGACATTTGTTGTTGGTACATCGGAGTAGTCTTCAATTAGTTGGAACCCTTAGGTTAACTATCGACTTGATCATGGTTGTGTGTATTCTGAACTCATAAGTTGTTGCAACATGTTGTATGTCATTTGGTATGAGTTCGGAGGAAGAACTTGAGGAATTCCGTGGAGAATTCCAGCTTGCGCTATAGTGGTAAAATGACAAAATAGTCTTCCATGTAGCTCGTAATTGAGTTCCTCAAAATTATATAAAAAGATGACATCCATATCTTCGCAATGATGTATGGCATGAAACCCATTTTGCTTCCATCTCATATAGTTTAAAAGAATACTATAGATCCACTTCTTATCTTTCTGGACATATATGGCATGTCCATGGGAAAAATTGGTCTTGAAATCTTCATTTTCTCACGGTTGCGCAGTTCTGACGGGAATGTAGCTTCGGCTATCTTCGTACACAATTGGAAATATTGGTTGTACATAAAATTCTGAAAACTTGACGCAACAATCTTTAGCATCTTTGCTTACATCTGTAACTAGTCTTATGTCGAAATTCATTCGGGAAGTCGGTTTTCAGTTAAGAATCATTCAAGTGCGCATAATGAGTTTTAGGTACAATTACATTGCCCTCATAGCTCTACGAGCATTTGCCCCAGTCGGAGTGTTATTAGACTCAAACTGAGTTGCATGTGACTTTAGATGAGAGGTTTACTAGTCAAATTCACGATGAGGTGTTGGTCCCCAAGGAGCCAAACTTGCCTTCACTTCCTAGCTTGGAAGCTCTTTTTGAACTAGGTCCATGTTTTGTGAATTTGCTTGGATACACTTTTCCCTAAGTTCTGGGGTTATCATACCTTAGAATCACGAGATGAGTCGTGAAGAAGAATACACCAATAATCAAATCAGTCATGGCTCATACCAAAAATGTCTAAGCGATGGTAATTGAAAATAATAATAATAATAATCACAAAGGAACGAGACTCTTCCTTTTTGTAATTCTTGGTGTTGTAGCATGATCGCTACTATACCTTCTAGAACCGTCATGGTTCATATCTGAGTTCAAAACTCCGATGGAACTTGAGATTGAGTTTCGAAGTTAAACTTATACTTTTGTTAAGGGGTGGCTTGCCCCCATAGATTTCTTCCCGTGTTGGGACTCTTCTACACTCGTTTGAGCATTTGTGTCGTTGTCAGAGCTACTGGCTCCACCATAATAGTTGACAAAAACGTTCTTGATATTTAGACCTTCTTTATGCATCTTGTCTTAGATTTTAAATAGGTGGTGTTATATGAGATTCCCTTGGTCCGCTTGAGCTGGTCTCCATCTTTTATTTTAATGTTTATTATCTTTTTGATAAGAAAGTAAAGCGTCTTGTGGCCCACCAAAGCTTTCTTTCCTTTTTTTTTTTTTTTTTTTTTTTTTTTCTCTTTTCCGTTGATGGTGTGGAGCGAAGGGAATCTTTCCCTTAATCCCATTTGGTGTAGTTCTCTTTGAAAGAATTTTTAGTCACCATTTAAGTTGAAATGTTATACATGGTTTGAAGCCCTTGTTGCCTATAGAAGCGTCGCACACACACCAAAGCTCTTGTTGGCATCCTTTGCACATGTTTTCTTTCAGCAATGTATGTGGGTACTTATATACAGATTGAGGAATGAGGCCTTATTATGCCTTAAGCTTTTGCCTTCAGAATTCTTGTAAATCTTGGGGTAGACAATGCTTGAGGCTTTCAAAGAGCCTATAAATAAGTTTCCTTCAAACCATACCCTTGGGAGCCCAAATGATTTTTCAAAGCCATGAGTTTGACTTTCTAGTATAGTTGGAGGATATGTCTAATAATGCTTCATATTGTGGTTTTCAAACTAAGTCACTAAAGAGGTGAAGCTTATGCGTTGCTTGAAGCTCTCGAGAAGCTATATAAAGTGATTTACCTTCCAACGATGCCCTTGGGAACCAGACCGGGGTCAAAGTGTTGCATTGTTTAATAGGGCAAGGTATGAAGCTCTCGTAGGACCATATAAGTTATGTTTCTTCATTTGGCCTCTTGCAAGACCCTAGTAAAGGTTGGAACTCGCCTTAAGCTTGATGGTGTCTGAAGCTTACTGAAAAGTTGCGGCTTGAAAGATTTGTTGAGTATCTTGAGCAGATGCAAGATGGTCGAAGATCTTTGGCAAGTGACCACCATTATTATGATTAAACATGTTGATGGAAATAATCTTGTAAAATTTTTTGGCCTTTGTATACTATGTGTAGCATTCTAGGTTAGTAAAGCTTGGGGATTTTCGATTATTTATTAATGCTTAGAGTCTACAAGTACGAGTTGTACCGTTCCTCATCTAGTTGGTGGGAAAAAGGTAAGTTCCTTCATCACCTGGTTGGTGGGAAGGGTGGCGAGTTGCTGAAGGATAAAATTGTTTATTAAAGTACTGCTTATTCTCTTCATCACCTGGTTGGGGATAGGAAGGTGAGTTTCTTCATCAACTAGTTGGTGGGAAGAGTGGCGAGTTGCCGAGGGACAAAATTGTTTATTAGAATACTGGTACTTACTTCATCACCT